CCTAAACCCTAAACCCTAAACCCTAAACCCTAAACCCTAAACCCTAAACCCTAAACCCTAGGCCCTATAATCCTGGGAGGGGGAGGCAGGGAAAGGGTATGAGGAGACTGCTGCTGCGGCTACTGTCTCCTTTTGTCTTCTGATTGCTGCTGGTGTTGATTATAAATAAAAAAATAATAAAGAGAAAGAGACATTCATAAGAAGGTTAAATTAAAGCAAAAGAGACAACAGGAAGACAAAGATAAAAAAGAAAAACAGATGCTAATCAAGAAGAGACAATAAAGAGGAAGAGGCATTTACAGGAGGAGACAATAAGAACGGAGACAGCAAAAAAAAAGAAGAGACATCTGCTTAAAGACATTAAATAAAGAGACAGACACCCCACAGATAGACAAAGGAGGAGACAGCAAAACGAGCAGACGGCAAAGGAGACAGCAAAGAGAGACAACAACACAATAAAAAACAAAGAGATGTACAAATTAAGCAGGAAGAGACATTAAAAAGATAGAGATATCAAAGAGGAGACGCTTCAATACGAGGGACTTGCGCATCGACCGCCTTATGCATTTCTTCAGTGCAGAGGAGACAGCCTATAAATCCAAGCACTTATATATAATAAATAAACAAGTTATATATACATTTATTATATAATATATATATATATATATATATATAGCGATATGCATACAATACACATACATGTATATATACACATATATACTGATATATATATATATATATACACTCATACAAATATATATATACATATATATAAATATATAAATATATATATACAATGCATACCTTTGTCTTCTAGACCCCCAATAAGAGAAGAGATATGTTGTTTGATGCCCCTGAGGAGCTCGTGTGTCTGTGGTGAGAAGATAACATCAATATTTAGCTGTCTCTTAACTGCAGCACCGAGTGCTTTGTCTCCTACAATAAGAGAAGCAGCTTCTTCTCCTTTTAAAAGATTCTTTTTAAGAAATTTATGAAGGCCCTTACCAAGCTTTGCATCTGCTAAAGCTAATACCTCTTCTGTTGCTTGTTTATTATCTTTAAAGCGAGAGAATGCATGCAGCTCTACACACTTTCTCGCTGTCTCTGCGGTTTTAAAGTTCTCATATAATTCTTCTACGTCTTCTACCTGCAGCAGCTTGCCTTTCTTAACCCTAAACAGGGCAAAGCCTGCAGCTGTCTCTAATAGAGCGAGCATTATCTTATTCTTCTTTATATACAAGAAGAGAGCACAAGAAAGAGATACTTATATATCAATAAATGCAGCCAACACTTATACTTAATGACAATATACACCCCAAATAATACTCAGAATTTATTTATTTCCCTGGATATACACCCCAAATCAAGCACTTCGCCAACTGCAGCAGAAGCAGCAGCAGCAGCAGCAGAAGCTGCAGCAGCAGCAGCTGCACCAGAATGAAGCAAGAGACCGGCAGGTAGAAGCAGAAAGTATGCTTGCAGTCAAAAGAATAAGATTAAAACCTTAAGAGTAAAAAAACAAAAACAAACAAATCATCAAAAGGAATCGCAGTAGATGCTGCAGCGTGGGGCAGCAGCTGCTGCTGCCTGGAGGTGTAGCAGCAGCAGCAGAAGAAGAGCACAAAAGCAAAGAAGAAATATATTTTAAATAAATTATATTAAATTAATAAGCCAACGCAAACACCCCAAGCAAAGAACAGCACACAGAAGCACAGGCAATACCACAGCCCCCAATTGAGTGTGGGGGCAGCTGCTGCTGCTGCTGCTGTAGCGGCTGCTGCTGCTGCTGCTGCTGCTGCAGCTGGGGGCCCCCGTCGGGGGCCTCTTCCTTCCGCAGCCTAGAGAAGCAAATAAAGCAGTAAAAGCAGCTTTTAATAAACAACCAGCTATTATAATTACAAAGTAAGAAAAGAAGATCCACAACACCTTGAGACTGTTGCGGCTGCTGCAGCAGCATCTGCTGCTGCAGCTGCTATTGCAGCAGACGTCGAGACTAGGGGCCCCTTGGGGGCCCCCTGCCGCAGTACCCTGTTGCATGCATATGCTGCTGCGTTTGCACATCTGCTGCAGCTCAAAAGATTTAAATTCTTCTTCTATTAAATTCAATTCACCAGCTGCTCCGCCTCCGCTTCTGCTGTTGCTGCCTTGGCAGCAGCAGCAGCTGGAGCTGCTGCTGCTGCTGCAGCAGAAACGGCGTCGCGAGACGCAGCGCAGCAGCAGCAGCAGCAGCAGCAACGCCACTACGACTGGGCTTTCTTAGTGTCTTGAATGTCTGTGTGTGTCCTTGCTCAATCTATCCACATGGGATCGTGCTGGGGATCGCGTTGGGGATCGTGTCGGCAGGGGATCGTATTTAGGATCGTGTGTAGGATCGTGTATGGGATCGTGTGTGGGACCGTGTATGGGATCGTGTGTGGGACCGTGTATGGGATCGTGTGTGGGGTCGGATCTGGGATCGTGTGTGGGATCCGATCCCAGCCCAGCAGTGTACGATGGCTGCCTGGGTGGCAGACTCTGAGGCCCGCGAATGTTTTGCATGCGCTGAGGCCTTCTCAACTTTAAGAAGGAGACACCACTGTCGCCTTTGTGGGGCTGTCTATTGCGGCCGTTGCTGCTGCTTGTCAGTGCTCCCAGTTGCAGCGCAGCAAGACTCAAGCAGCAGCAACAGCAGCAGCAGCAGCAGCAGCAGCGGCACCAGCAGCACCACCAGCAGCAGCAGCACGCGCCTCTGTCTTCGCTGCATGCAGAATGCTGAAACTCAGGCCTCCCTCCTCGATCCCCTCTGTAAGCAACTCCACGGTCAGCAGCAGCACTTAGCTGTATGTACACCGCAGCAGCAGCAGCAGCAGCAGCAGCAGCATACCCAGGCGTCCCCATCGTCTCAAAGAGGCCTGCTGAAGCCCCCTAGCAGACAACAGAAGACACCAGCGCCTGTTGCTGCTGCTGCTGCTTCCAAACAAACTCATAGCTGCACCAGTAACAGCAGCAGTAGCAGCAGCAACAGTAGCCCCGGCAGCAGCAGCAGCAGCAGCAGGGATGACAGCGTTGCAAATGGGGTGTACGCGCTGTCTCTTTTGCGGCGCAGTGTGATATCTCGCTGTCTGCTGCAGGGACTTCCAGCAGCAACAGCAGAGGTGCTGCTGCGGCTGCTGCTGCCTGCTGCTGCTGCTGTTCGTCTGTCTCCTGACCCGATAATTTGTCTTGGGGATGTTGTGCAGATTTGCTGCTTCAAAGGAGACTCGCTGCAGCAATCGGTTGCCTTCCCGGGGCTGCTGCTGCCGCTGCAGCTGAAGCAAAAGCAGCAGCAGCAGCTGCTGCCGCTGCGCTGCGCTCGTGTGTTGCTGCTGCACGGAGACCTTCAAGGGGGCCCCGCTGCAACAGAGGGGCCCCTCAGTTCGTTTACAGATTTAGCTATTGAGAAGAGGAGACAGCAGCTAGCACTGAAGCTGCTGCTGCAGCAACTCGCGCTGCTGCAGCCAGATCTGCTGCTGCTCTCCGGGTCTCTCTCCTTGTCTCTGCTGCTGCGCCTCGCCTCTATCAACATTGTTGCTGTTCCTTGTGTCTCCTTTCTGTCTCTTATCCGAGCCAGTAGGGCAACAGGGGCCCCCATCTGGGCGTCTCTTGAATTAGCAGTAGCAGCAGCAGCAGCAGCAGCGGGACAGCAGCAGCAGCAGCAGCAGCCAGTCCTTGGCAGCTGCTCCGTAAGATGGGGGGCCCCCACCCCGGGGGCCCCCCCTCATCTCATTCTCTTCGACTGTCTTCCTTCTCGCTTCTGGACAATCTGTCTTGTGCTGCCTCCTGCAGCAGCAGCAGCAGCAGAACCAGCAGCAGGAACAGTAACAGCAGCAGCAGCAGCAGTTCAGGAAAGGCTGAAAGAAGAGACATGCAAAAGAGTTCTGTGGAGGAGTCTACTTGCTGCCTTTGCCCTGCAGCAGGAGCTGCGGTTTGTTGCTGCTTGCTGCTGCTGGGCGGGAGACACTTCAGGCGTCTCCTTTAATGAAGCAGCAGCAGCACAACGTCTGCTGCTGCTGCCAGACGAGCCCTGGGGTCTTGACTCAGAGGAAGCAGAGACACAACAAGGAGACAGAGAGGAGGAGCTGTCTCTCTTCCTATGCAGCAAAACCACCGCAGCAGCAGCGCTGCTGCAGCACGAGCAGCAGCAGCAGCAGCAGCTGCTGCTGCAGCAGCAGCAAGAGCCACAGCAGCACCAAAACGGACGCGCCAACGGCGGCGGCGACAGCGGCACCTGCAGCAGAGACGCTGCTGGTTCTGCTGCTACTGCTGCTGCTGCTGCTAGTACTGCTGCTGCTGCTGCTCGTACTGCTGCTGCTGCTGCTACTGAAATCGAAGCAATAATGGAGACCAGCTTCCGCGGGAGACACATAAGAGAATGGCTGCAGTGCTGCTGCACTTCATTGGGTTCAGGGGGCCCCTCGGACCTGCTGCGGCGTCTGCTGCAGTGTATGCACAGCTTGGAGAAGTCTCCCTTCAGCAGCAGCTCTCCTCGAGGTACAAGAGCAACAGCAACAGCAGCAGCAGCAGCAGCAGCTGCTGCTGCTGCTGCTGCCGCTGCAGCGCAACCCCAAATGCTGTTACATGGAGAGGGGCCTTTTGAATGGCAGCCTTTTGCTGCTGCACTGCCACTCCCTCCCCCAGCAGAAGCAGCAGCAGCAGATGAAACAGCAGCAGCAGCAGCAGGCGGAGCAGCAGCAGGAGCAGCAGGAGCAACAACAGAAGAAGAGACAGAGGAGGTTAGCAGCAGCTTACCATTGCGTTTGCTGCTGCGGGCCTTTGATCTGGGTTTGGATATGCTGCCTGTGGGGTGTATATGGAGCTGCGGACTGCAGCAATGCTCTCAGGGCGATGGGGTGTCTGCGGAGCTCATTGTAGGAGGGCCTCCTTGTTCTGCTGCTGCTGCTGCTGCTGCTGCTGCTGCTGCTGTTGCTGGTGATGCTGATGCAGCTGCGCTGGGGTTGAGTCCAGCTGCTGCTACGCTGCATACAGCTGCTGCTGCTACGCTGCATGCGGCTGCTGCTGCTTGGTGCCGCTTGCTGCTGCAGCACCCCACAGCTCGCAGCTGCCCAGCAGGAGACAGCCGCTGCAGGAGACAGCTGCAGGAACATTGTCTCGCTTTTACTAGAGACACCAACCGCGTTGTCCTCACCTTTAACGTCAGCTAAACCCTAAACCCTAAACCCTCAACAACCCGCTAACACCCTAAACCCTAAACCCTTAACCCTAAACTCTAAGCGCCTCGCCTTTCCGGGCAATCAACTGCTGCTTTCTCTGCTGCTGCTGCTGCTATTGGTGTTGTTGCTGCTGCTGCTGCTGCTGTCTCTATGCAGGAAGGGCTGCCTGGGCCTTCTGGTGTCCCCTCTCCTGTGCCTACCCCAATGCTGCGCTTCAGCAAGAATGAGCTGTCTCCTTTCGTGTCTCTTTCCCCTCTCCCTCCATCCAAAGCGGCGCCGGCGCAGGCGGCTGCAGCAGCAGCTACAGCAGCAGCAGCAACAGCAGCAGCAGCAGCAGCAGACGGATCTTGTAACGTGCGGGAGACCCCCCTGTCGGGCATAAAGCTGCAGCACAGCCTTAACGGCGCAGTAGCTGGAGCAGCAGTAGCAGGTTCAGGCGGAGGTGCCGGAGCAGCAGCAACAGCAGCAGCAGCAGCAGCAGCAGCAGCAGGAGCGCTGCCTGAAGTTGTGTGGTGGCAGTCGTGCAGCCGTTGTGGGGGGGGCCCCCTGGGGGCCCCCCAAGACCTCCGAGAGTTCGGTGATATTCCTTTTGTCCGGTTTTTAGATTTGCTGCTGACAGATAATACCCTAAAAGGAGACGGTACCCGCAGCAAAATCCAGCAGGAGCAGCAGCAGCAGCAGCAGCAGCAGCAGCAGCAGCAGGTAGAGAGAGAGGGGGGAGCATGCCGTTGCCCCCATTATGTGTTCAGAGACAGGGCCTTCCATTTTGCATCTGGAAACGCTGTAAGGACAGCTCCAGCTACTGCTGTTGTTGCTGCTGCTGCTGCTGCCGTTGCTGCTGCTGCTGCTGCTGCCGTTGCTGCTGCTGCTGCTGCTGCTGGCAGCTAGCCCAGTGGAGGCGCTTGCATCTGAGTCTGAGAGGGCCTGACGCTATAACCCTTACCTTCTGCATGAGGGGCTGGTTGCCTCCGTGCTGCAGCTTCATATGCTGCTGCTGTTGCTGCTGCTGCTGCTGTTGCTGCTGCTGCTGTGCCTTGCAGACGCTGAAGTTCGAGCACCAAAGCGTCTCCATTTATTCAATCTGCAGACACGGAGACTCGCAGCAGCTGCTGAGGCCCCCGTTGCCAGCAGCAGCAGACGCAGCAGGCGCAGCAGACGCAGCAGCATCAGACACAGCAGCAGCAGCGAAGGTGGGAGGCGTAGCACCAGCAAACGCAACAGAAGCAACAGCAGCAGCAAACGAAGACAAAGCAGCATCTGCCGAGGGCCCAGCAGCAGCATCACCAGCTCTAGCATCAGCAGCAAATACCGCAGCAGAATCAGCTGCACCAGCAGCAGCAGCTGCTGCTAATCCTGCTGCTGGTGTCTCCTTGCAGCAGCAGGGAGACACCTGTCTATCAGGGGGCATTTGCAGCAGGGCTCGTTATCTGCTGCTCCGTGCAGCAAACGAAGTCGCTGCTGCTGTCTGTGGGGGCCCCCTGAGCAGCAGCAACGGGGGCCCCCTAACTTCAGCAGCAGCCGAAGGCCCCTGCATCTTAGAGGCTTCAATTGAACAAACCCTAAAGGGGACTATGAACTCTTTAAAAGAAAACAAGGCAAGCAAACGCAGCAGCAAGATCTGCCATAGCAGCAGCAGCAGCAGCAACAGCAACAGCAGCAGCAGCCGCTGCTGCAGAAGCTGCATATTAAAACCACTGCAGTAATAGCCTGCGGGATGCGCTCACCATGTTACGTTTAGGGTTTAGGGTTTAGGGTTTAGGATTCAGGGTTTAGGGTTTGGGGTTTTGCTGCTGCAGGCCTCGTGGGCTGTGCAAGGACGGATGCTGTTGGTGTCTGTTGCTGCAGCAGTTGAGAAGCAGGTAGCAGCAGCAGAGAAGCAGCAGCAGCTGCTGATAAAGGGGGCCCCCTATGCAGCAGTCTCCTTACCTAAGGGGCCCCCTGGGGGGCCCCTAGGGGGCCCCCCAGGGGGCCCTCTTTGGCAGCTATGGGCAGAGGTGTCTCAGCTGCTGGTACACCACAAACGCAGCCTGCTGCTGCTGCAGCAGCAACTGCAACAAGCAGCAGCAAGCCTCCTTCTGCTCTGCTTCTCGCTGCAGCAGCTGGCTGTTCCTGGTGTGTCAGTGCAGCAGCAGCAGCAGCAGCATCAGGAAAAACAGCAACAGCAGTGGAGCAGCAGCAGCAGCAGAGAAGACTGGATGGCAGCAGGCAGGGACGGGGCGGGTCGAGCAACAGCAGCAACAGTAGCAGCAGCAGCAGCAGCAGCAGCAGCGAACAGCGACTGCTGCTGCTGGAGAGCAGCTGAGCGGCTGCTGCGAGTCACTGCATATTCGTGGTATTACCTCAGCCAATACTTCGCTTCTTGCTGCTGCGCCCTCTCAACTCGTTTTGCTGCTGCTGCAGAGGAGGCCCTGAATAGAGCCCATCTGCCTGAGGCCCCTCCCCTATCGGGGCTCGCAGCTGCAGATGCCTCAGCAGCAGCAGCAGCAGCAGCCGCAGCTGTCGCTGCTGCTGCTGCTGAGGAGGAGGGAGAGGCCCCTTTAAGGGCAGGAGGCTTTCTCGTGCTGCCGAGCTGTGGGACGGACTTGTTGCAGTGTGGGCCTGATGTAGCAGCAGCAACAGCAGCAGCAGCTGCAGGAACAAGAGCAGCAGCAGCAGCAGCAGCAGCAGCAACAGCAGCAGATGTGAGGCCAAGTCAAAGGAGCGGGATCTCGTGGGTTGCAGCAGCATCTCCCTTTTTGCTGCACCCGCCTGCCGCAACACCAACAGCAACTGAAGCATCGGGGAGTCTATACACTGCAAACTCAAAAGGACCAGCAGCAGCAGCAGCAACGCCAGCAGCAGCAGCACCAACAGCAACACCCGCCCCAGAAACAGCAGCAGCAGCGGCGGCGGCGGCAGCAGCAGCAGCAGCAGCAGCAAGACGCCGCAGTGTCTCTTGTGAAGTCTTATGGCGTATGTCTAACAAAGTAGAAACCAAAGGCACTCAGGGTACACCTCCTAATACAAGGGGCCCCCTAGGGGCCCCCGGGGGGGCCCCAGGAGAGGCCCCTGGGGGGGCCCCCGTAGGGGCCCCTAGGGGGGCCCCCAAAGAGGCCCATAGAAAGGCCCCAGGAGGGGCCCTTAGGGGGCCCCTAGGAGGGGCCCCTGGGGGGGCCCCTGGAGGGTCCCCCTTGCAAGCCTATGGGGAAGCAGCAGCTAAAGAAAATTCTCGGAAGGAGGACTGCGTGCCCTTTGAAACAGCAACAGTAGCAGCAGCAGCATCAACAGCAGCAGCAGCAGCAGCAGAAGACCCAAAGCATACCCAATCCGACAGCAACTGCGTTGTTTCATATGAAGCAAAGGAGCAGCTGGGGTCCCCCCCGCTGCCTCCAGCAGCGTCAGCTTCCGCAGCAGCAGCAACAACAGCAACAGAAGCAACAACAGCAGCAGCAGCAGATGCTTCACAGCAGCACCATGAAAAGAAGTGTAGGAGACAGCTGACGGAGTTGTCTTTTAAAAGGGGGCCCCTGGGGCCCCTAAACTCGGGGGCCCCTCCATTAGGGGCTTCGCAGCAGCGCAGTCTGCAGCGGGAAGCGTGGCGGCCGTTGCTTGGTGCTGCTGCTGCTGCAGCTCCTTCTCCTGCTGCTGCTGCAGCTGCTGCTCCTGCTTCCGCTGCTGCTCTCCTGGGGAGGGGACCCGGTAGTGGGCTGCGCACCATCAGCAGCATCAGCAGCAGCAGCAGCAGCATCAGCACGGATTCTGTTTGTTTGGGGCGTTTGCGTCAGCTAACGTTAGAGACAGTGCATGCAGTGGAGTCTGTTCGTGCTGCAGTGTATGTGCAGCAGCACCAGGGCCTCCGCAGGTGTCTCTTTCCCAATCAAGAAGGAGACGTGGGGGCCCTCATAGCCTCAGCTATCCTCAGTGCTGCTACAGCAAAGCAGCTGCAGCACCGCTGGGCCTCAGCTTATAAACCTTTTGCTGCTCCTTGCTGCGGCGGCTTCTGCTCTCGCTGCAAGGCCTCCTCAGGGGCCCCCCAGGGGGCCCCCATGGGGGCCCCCCCAGCTAACCCTTCTTTAGGGGCCCCCCAGGGGGCCCCCCTGAGAGATCCTCCAGAGACGGCTTCTGCAGATACCCCCTCCCTTGTGAGCTCGCTGGGTGGTTCAGCAGCAGGGACATTGAATGCAGGGGGAAGCCCTGCTGTTGCTGCTGCTGCTACTGCTGCTGCAGCAACGGCAGCAGCAGGGGCCCCGGAAGAGGAGACAGCCAACGGTGTTCGATGCAAATGCTGCATCGGGAGATGCGCTGTGGGGTTGAGCCGCATGCGTAGATTAGCTAGGGCTGGGGTTCGCATGCAAAGGGGCTGGGGGCCCCCCGGAGGAGGATTGGGGGGGGCCCCCTATAAGGGCCCCCTTGAAGGGGGAGGCCCTATAGGGTCGTGCAGGCGAGGCTGTCTGCTGCTGCCTTCCGTGCTGCAGCTGCTGCTGGAGGAGATCTCTGATAAGCTGCGATCAAAAGGAGACAGCTTAGGGGCCCCCCAACTGAAAGAGAGGGGCTTCAATGTACACCATAATGCCGGGGGGCCCCCCGATAAAGAGACTCTAGGGGGCCCCCTAATCCCACAGACTGATATTTGCTGTGAGACATTTCGGTGCTGTCTCTTTATCCCTCCTTTCTGCTATCTCCTGTCTCCTCCAGCAGCAGCAGCAGATACAGCAGCAGCAGCAAATGCAGCAGCAGCAGCAGGTGTGCATCGAGAGGGTTTGCTGGGGGCCTCATCATGGGGGGTCCAGCAGCAGGGGCCCCCCTTCTTCGCCTCCCGGGGGGCCCCCCAAGCCGGTGGTGTAGCTGCATGCGATAGAGAGACTTTGCTGCTGCTGCGCTCCGTCTTGGAGGGCCCCACAGACAACAGCGAGCAGCACGTGCAGCTGCAACAACTCGGAGACAATCATACCCACTCTGTTACCCTGTTCTTTGCCCCGCAGGTGAGCCTATCTAATAGCTAGCCAGCTAGCTAGCTAGCTAGTCAGGTAGTTTGTGTGTTGGCTAGCCAGCTAGCTAGCCAGCTGGGTAGCTAGCTCGCCAGCTCGTTTGCTACGGAGCTAGCTACACAGCTAGCTAGCTAGCTAGCCCCTGCTGCTAGCTAGCTAGATACTTAGCCATGCGTGCCCAGCTAGCTAGCTAGCTAGCTAGCTAGCTAGCTAGCTAGCTTTAGGGGGAAAATGAAGGTTAGGAGAGGGAGAGCGATAGGTGGCTGGGGTTTGTAATGAAGAAGGTTTGTGGGGTTTGGGGTGTATGTGCACCTCGCTGCAGTTTCATGCTTTGAGGCATTTACTCTGCGGCGATGATATTCAATTTTGCTGTTCTATCAAACACACAAAACCCGTTCGTCTTTGTGGAGGTAAAAGCGGAGCCTCATTCACACTCTCTGCAGATGGGTGCGCCTAAACCCTAAACCCTAGACCCTAACCAAACCCTAAACCCTAGACCCTATCCAAACCCTAAACCCTAGACCTCAAGCCTCGCCTAAACCCTAAACTCTAAACCATATCTGTGTGATATTGCAGTACGCTTGTAGGGAATATATATATATATATATATACGTAGAAGTTATATATATATATATGTATATATTTATGTATTTTGTGTTTTAATAAAGTATGTTTGTATTGAAGGAGTTGAACATATATAAATATATATATATATATATATATATTTATTTATATACATATATATATTATATATATACATATATATTATAAATAAACATATATATAGATATATAAATATGTATATATATATATGTATATATATATATTGTGTGTGTGTTAATACAGTATGTTTGTATTGAAGGAGCTGAACAAGCAAGAGGCGCAGCTGTTGCTGCGTCAGTGTCATCGATTTTTGCTGCATTTTTCTTCGGCTTTGTTTGAAGGGAGGCCCTGCGCTTTAACTCCTTTCTCTGGGTTTTTTAAAGTTATGTGTAAGGAGACAAAAGCAAAGAATTATTATATAGCAATGCACAACCTCAGGTACGTACACCCCAACACCCCACACAAACTTCCTAAGATATTTGATTTAAAGGGGCTAGGGCCTCAGAGATACATCCCCGAACCTCAAACAAATGCAGCAGATACCAGCAGCAGCAGCAGCAGCAGCAGCAGCAGCAGCAGCAGCAGCAGCGGCAGCGGCAGCAGCAGCAGCTGCTGCAACGGGAACGGGAGCGGTGCTGTAGGCGTAGCTGCAGGCAAGATTCGCATAGGGGCAGAGACGGCCCCACAGCAACCAGCAGCAGCAGCGGCAACAGAACCAGCAGCAGCAGCAACAGCAGCAACAGAACCAGCAGCAGCAGCAGAAGCAGAAGCAGAAGCAGAAGCAGAAGCAGCAAGGGGCTCAGATGTAATAGTGTCTCCTTTGCTTCGAGAGACAAGCAAACGGACAGTCTTCATTGGAGAGACAGCACAAAGAGCAAACGGTATTTGCTGCTGTTCTTCTTTAGTGTCTCTCAGCCTCTGTCTGTCTCCTTGTCTCTTTTTTGTGTCTCCTTGTCTTTATATTTTTTTTATTTTGAAGTTGTCTCCCTGTCTTTCTGTCTCCTTTTGTCTTTAAACTGTCTCCTAGTCTTTGTCTATCTTTATTTACACCTCTCTTTGCGCTTTTTTAAACTGTGTCCTCATTCTTTAATCTATATGTATATTATAATTTATATAATATGTTATATTCCTGTATAATACAATATAATAAATTATATTTTTCTTGTGTCTCTTTCTGTCTTTGTTTTGTTTAGCGCGATATTTACCTATCCTTGACTCGGGTGGCTGTAGCGCAGCAGCAAACGCAGATTTAGAAGCAGAAGCAGCAGCAGCAGCGGCAGCAGCAGAAGACGGAGTATCTCCAGAAGCAACAACAGCACCCACAGCAGCAGCAACAGCAGCAGCACCATCAGCGCCAACAGCAGCAGGACCAGCAACAGCACCCACAGCAGCAGCAACAGCAGCAGGAGCAGCAACAGCACCCCCAGCAGCAGCAACAGCAGCAGCAACAGCAACAGCAGCAGCAGCAGCAGCAGCAACAGCAACAGCAGCAGCAGCAGCAGCAGCAGGAAGATGTGGGTTGGAGGTGCTTCCGGTGCATGCAGCATTAGAGAGGAGCCCTGTGCTATGGGACCAGAATTTTCGTTTATATTTACGGGGCTTTGGTTTGCGTTTAAGAGGCGAAGATATAAATAATTTAAGAGAGGCATTTGAGAGAGATTTGCTGCTGCTAGAAGAGCTAGAGGTTGTAGACTACTCTTTATTAGTTGTAGTGTATGAGGAGACACAAGATATTTGTCTGGGTCTCATTGATTTCTTACGTAGATACACCTGGGATAAACAAGTAGAAAAGTTTAGTAAATCTATTGCTTATATGACTACAGGCTTACAGCCTACGGTAATTTCGCCGAAAGAATATAAATTGCGTTTTAAAGATGCTGTCTTGTCTTTGTTTGCTTCTTATCACCCCCCCTCTCTTACTCTAAACAAACACTTCTTACAAGTACTATTAAAACCTATTGCTGGATATACATATGATGCAAATGCTCCTCTTGCTCCTGCTGCTGCTGCACCTGCTGCTGCTGCACCTGCTGCTGAGGGTGCGGGTGCAGCAGCAGGTGAGGATGCGGAGGCTGCTGCTGATCCTGAAGCTGCTGATGCTGCTGCTGCTGCTGTTGCTGCTGTTGCAGAGGCGGCGGTGCGATCAGAAGCAGCTGCTGCACCGACGCAACTAGCAGCACAAACAGGAGCAGCAGCAGCAGCAGCAGCAGCAAGAGCAGCTGGTTCAGGGGGTTTAAACGGGGGGCCCCCGTCGAGTGTCTCTTTAAGTGTCTCTAAAGGGGCCCCTCCCCCTTCGTTTGCTCGCTGTCTTGCTGCCATTGTGCTGCAGCAGCAGCAGCAAGATGCGGCAGGGGTTTGGGGGCCCTTCAGCTCTGCTGCAGCTGCGGAGACACCCCGAAAAAAATAAAGAAAGTCTTGTTTGCTGCTTGTTGTCTATGCAAAGGAACTAAACTTTGTTTTTTAATGCAATTTATTTTGTTTATTATATTTATATACTTTTTATTATTTATATATTTTATATTTTATCTTCAGGCTGCACATCGTATGATTAATATATAATATGTTTTAGAGGTAGAGATAGCGTTGTACAGTAAAAATATATATACTAAATAAAATATATATATATATATGTACATATATATATATATATCTTATAATATATATTTTATATAATGCATATTATGTAGATTATAAATAGACTATACACATATACCTATACAAACATATAAATTATATCTATATCTATATCTATAACTATATATCTACATATATCTATACACAGATATATATATATATATATATATATAGATATAGATATATATAGTTTTGTACACTGCATATATATTGTATACATGCAATATGTAGTATACACTCTATATAATATAATATATATGTATATATATATATTTATATATTTGTTTATTTATTATGTACACATATATAGCATAAGATGTATAATATATAAAAAAATAAATGCATATATTAAACATGTCGCATATTTTATATATTATTTATCTATGGAGGTCTACGAATGCGTATAAACAAAACGAATGACTTATAAATAATAATAATATATAATAATTTTTATAATATGTACGGCTTATAATAATATATATAATATATTATATAGAATAAATATTATATATAAGACACATTATATATATATATATGTATATATATATATATATACATATATATATATATATATATTACATAAGCAGAATGCATATTATATATATTATATTTATAATATATAAGATATTAAATATATAAATAATATATTATTCATTATCGCTACTGTATTACATATTACTATATTATAGAATTACATATAAAATTATATATATATATATACATATATATATATACATATATATATATGTATAAATAAATAATGCATATTTATCATATTGCGGTTTGCAGAATCCAGCAAACAGAGGGGGGCCCCTAGGAGGGCCCCCACCAAACCCTAAGGGGCCCCCAGCAAACCCAGGGGCCCCCTCCATACAAAAGGGGGCCCCCACTAAACAGAGAGAGGCCCCCAGCGAACCCAGGGGCCCCCACCATACAACAGGGGGCCCCCAGCAAACCCAGGGGCCCCCACCATACACAGGGGAGCCCCCAGCATACCCAGGGGCCCCCACTATACACAGGGGGGCCCCTAGCAAACCCGGGGGCCCCCAGCGCACAGACAGGGGGCCCCGGAGAGGGCTGGGGGGCCCCTTGGTGGGGGCGGAGGGGGGCCCCCAGGGGGATTCGTTGCATGCAGACAAAAGGAGACAGCCAGTGTGATGTCTCTTTCTGTTGGAAGTGTCTCCTTGCGGGTTTAAGGCCTCACTGCAAGTGTGTTGAGGTGTACATACACCTCAAAGAGGTGCCTATACACCCCGCTATAAAACTAAATAAAACAAAAAAAAGCAAAAAACACCTGCAAAAGAAGATGGAGACTGACATTGCGGGCTTCCCATCTAGAAACTCACACACACCCTTGCTGCTGCTGCTGCTGTTGTTGCTGCTGCTCTGCTGCTGCTGCTGCTGCTGCTGTGTCTGCTGCTGCTGCTGTACTTCCTGCAGGAGCATCGTTTTGTGGTATGCCTGCCGCTTGTCCTGCTGCTGCATTGTTTGCTGCTGCTGCCGCCGCATTTTTTTCTGCTGCTGCAGCGCGTGTCTCTGTTGTTGTTGTAGCAGCAGCAGCAGCAGCAGCAGCAGTAGCAGCGGGAGTTTGTGTTTTTTGTTTGTTTTTCTTCTTTGTTTGTTCGCTCATCCTCTCCTTGTGCTGCTGCTGTCTTTCTTTTAAAGCTAACTCAATGCGAGCAGCCACTCTGTGGGGACTGCAAAACAAACAAAACCCCCATAAACCCTAAACCCTAAACCCTAAACCCTAAAAACCCTGAACCCTAAGCCCTAAACCCTAGACCCTACGGGCTCTGCAAACCCGACAGACTTTATACAAACCCTAAACCCTACACTGTAAATAGTCTAAACCCTAATTACTGCACAGGACCTCAAAACCCTAAACCCTAATCCCTACAAATCCTCAACTCTAAACCCCAAGAGACTCTACACAGCGCACAAACCCTAAACCCTAAGAACCCTAAACCCTAAAATGGGTGAGGGTCTCCTTCTCTTCTCTACTTTCTACGACGGGGCTGCATGCATGCATACACCTTAACACTGTTTGCATGCATGCATGCAGTGTTGAGGTGTATATGGAGCTCACCTTGCTATAAGGGTTTTATAAGGCCCTTGAATATATACTGTCCCTAGAGGTGTCTCCTTTTGTTTTTTTATTTGTTTTGCTCGCGCATATACAACAGGTGCCTGTCTCTTTGTTTTATGTTGGGAGAAGTAAGCAGCACAATCAGCAGCAAAAGATAAGGCAGAGGAGACAGCAGCAGCAGATCCACCCTCTTCCTCCTGCTGCTGCTGCTGCTGTTGCTGCTGCTGCTGCTGCTGCAGCAGCACGTGGGCCCCAGGGGC